GGAAGTAGGTCAAGTCTCTGCAGGTCAGCGCGACTGGAAGCGCTGGCTGAGGTATTGGATGACCTTGAGACAGCTGGCGTTGAACAATGACACCGGACAAAGCGATAGAGAAGGTGGGACGGCAGAGACCGCTACATGATATCTCTTTTTCCAACGATGCACGTAATTGTTATCGCGTACATTGCAGGTAATGGTAGGATGTGTCAAATGACCTCTGCAAATTCAAAAACCAGTTGGGAAAGACTCCAATGTTACCATGCACCTGGGCGTTCTTCGATACAACAAAAGTTGCATTCTCGTTGACAGAACAGCTTAAGCAATAGGAACAATGATGCTATGATATTGTTGCTATATGTCTTGGTCACCAGAATGAAGCAAATAAAATAAACAGGCAGAAAGATGTTTAAGGAGGGGCTGGACAGATTTAAGAGCAAAAGTAGCTTATGTAGGCCCACTCATATACCCATAGACACAGCCTTTTGTACCGCAAAATCGGTGGTTATAGTGCTTTGGGGGGGGTGGGGAAATAGGATAGGCTGATAAAGACATTTTTAGAAGTGTAAAGTGAAAAAAAATCTAGTCGAAGTTGCTTCCCGTGGCCGCTGGGAGTAAGTTGTTCGGTATGTAATTTGAAGGTGAGCGCGGCGCTTTGCGCCGTAGAATTTACCAGTATAACTCCAGAACGGTAAGCTGGACCTCAGGTAAGTTGAAGTAAACGACCTCATAATCACCATTTATATTTTTCGGGAAATTCAAGAAACCAGCAATTTGATATTCGAGTTTTTCATCAATAAGTTAAGCGATAATACAGATTAGGAAAATTTACAGATATAAATCAACAACACGTCTAAATACAGTAAAATAAGAACCATTTAACATTTATGAAAGTATATTCCACTGCGCGTCCTAATTTCCCACCCATAAAACCCTATAACCACCGTTTTCGGAGGAAAACCTGCAGGAAGTAGGCATTAATGAGTGGGCCTACATAAGCTACTATTGCAAATTTTAGTAAATAAATTGACTAATTTGTTATAGGTTCGGTAACCTCGGTGCTGTTTTTTGTTTCGTCTGACGTGCTCGTTTGCTACGTGTAGAAACATATTATGTTTTACAGAATAATACGGTTTTATGGGCTTACTATTTATTTGGAAGTCCTTAAAGGGCTCTCCTCAGCAAGCACGCACAGTGTTATTTTCATCCACGTGATGGATTTACGAAAGGAACACTTGCAAACTGCCTTGGTGCGGAAGATATGGGGAAAAACAACCAGCGTAATTTTACGGCTCGAAGGTTACAACATGTTGTGCAGCATATGGACTGCATTGTATTACGTAAAGAGTGACTGGAGTACAGGTTAATATAAGTTACTGGAGGTCTGAACACACACACCGACGTCGCGAAAGCGATACCTCGAGCGAGACTGCTAGATCCGACATATCATCGTGATCTAGAGCACAACTGAATGCGTCGTCATGTTGATTACTTAGTTTGCACATTCGAGACGTGCCAGGAAAATAACTGGTATTCGTATGCACCGGAAGCAACAATCCGCGGGCAACTTATGCGGCCCAAGGACCAAGTACCCTTTAACCAAATGTCCGACGTCATTTACCGCATCGACTGTTTTTGTGGTCAAGCCACTTATGTTGGTGAAAGCGGCAAACGGATTCTCACGAGAATGCATCAGCATGAACTCGCCGTGCGACGGAATGACAAGAAATCCCTGGTGGCCACCAACGCATCCACGCCAGGGCACAGCTTCGACTTCGAACGCGTGCAAATACTGGGTCGGTCAGAC